AGGTTGTACCAGCTGTGTGATGCTCCCAGTTTATTTCTGGCAAGTTGAAGTCCCCCGTAAGGACAAGGGCAGTTGACTTGGAAGTGTCCCTTAGTTCCTCAAAGAATAATTCATCAGTGTCATCATCCTGTCTGGGAGGTCTATAGCAGACTCCCATGGTGACATTGGTATTATTTGTTTGCCCCTTGATTCTTACCCAGAGGTTCTCAACTGTGCCATTGCCAACTGTGAGCTCCAGACATTCTAACCCTTCTGTTACATACAGTGCCACCCCTCCACCTCTTCTGCCCTGCCTATTCCTCCTGAAGAGCCTGTAACCAACCGTTCAACTGGGCACTCCAATCACAGGTCTCATCCCATCAGGTTTCTCTTATGCCAATGATGTCAAATCCCTGGGAGTGGGTCAAAGCTTTGAGATCCTCTTGTTTGTTCCTCATGCCGCATGCATTAATGTAGAAACATTTCAGGTGTGGTACATCGTAGCCAACACCTCTTGAGACAGATTGAGGGATCCCATTAGTGCTTGTTTCCTCAAGTTTTGGCACACCATCCCATTGCTCATCACTGGCAAGCCTGATTTTGCCCCTTTCACCCTTGCAAGCCAGTGTAAAGCTCTGTCAATGAACCCCGCTGGCTCCTGCGCTAGAACTGTTTTTCCCCTTTGAAAAAGGTGCATCCCATCAGGTGTCGGTAGACCAGGTTTTGAGTAGATCATCCCATTGTCCAAAACCCCCAAATTTTTCAGACTAAACCAACCTTGGAGCCACTCATTGACCTGATGGACCTGCCTATTCCTATTATCCTTGTTGCCGGAAGAGTCAAGAAAATCACTACCTGTGCTCCTGATCCCTCTATCAGTCGTTCCAGAGCCCTGAAGTCTCTTTTGATTGCCCTCAGACTTCTCTTTGTTATTTCTTTGCTGCCAGTTTGAACAACCAATAATGGCTAGTAATCAGAGGGCCTTACAAGACTGGAGAGTTTTCCAGTAATGCCCCTTACCTGAGCCCCTGGGAGACAGAAGACTTCTTTGTGAGTTGGGTCTGGTCTGCTCATCAGGCCCTCTCTTTCCCTTAGAAGGGAGTCTATTATTACAACTACCCTTCTTTTCCTCTTAACAGTGGAGGTCTTGATGTGGGGTACAGGTGGTGTTGTTTTAGGCGGCCCCACTACCCCAGAAGGACCTTCGCCCACCTCTTCAGTTGTCTGACTTTCTAGTTCCAGAGCCTCATACCTGTTGTAGAAGGTGCCAGTCCTGCCTGTCAAATTCTGAGAAAGAGGAAGAACCTTCCTCCTGGTATATGCAGTGACCAGCTTCCAGCCTTCATCTTTAACAGACCCTTGTCTAACAGTCCTTTGACTAATTACCCTACAGGGTTCTGAGTCCACTTGCTTCTCCACTACAATGAAGGTTCCAGATTCCTGAGAGTCTAGAGGCTGTAGCATCTCTGAATATAATTGGTCTCTCTCTTGCTTGTTTGCTCGAATACTACGTAGTCTGTTCACTTCTTCCTGTAGTTCCTTCACCTGGTGACACAGCTCTTCAACCATGGCACACCTTCTGCAAAATAACTGTTTTTCTGCCCCAGCCTTGCAAAAAGGCATCAGGCACTCCTGGCAACCTGCCACCTGGAGAGCTGTGTCTACCATCAGAAGGTCTGACTGGCTGGAGGCCTCTGACACAGCTGGCACAGTGACTCTTGCAGCTACAGGGGATTGAGCTTTACAGTATGTCAACACCATATCTGAGGAAGCTTAAACTAATATGCTAAGACTTGGGCTGAAAGGATCTCTTTGCTCTTCCTTACCAGCTACTGAGTCTGTTTGCTACCTCCATTGGCTGCACTCGGATGGTCAGAGGGGAGCCCTTCCTGCTTGCCCTGCCTGCATGGACTGCCTTGCAAACAGCTGTGCCACACCCTCACTGACGTGCCATGCCCCTGTTTCCCTCTCCTGTTCACCACACTCTAGGGTGTTCGAGCTGCCTGGAACCATTTAAAAGTCTCACAGTAGTTCCCGGTACCACCCCTCCTCACCTGATTGTCTGCCGAGGGCCCTCAGGTCCTCACAAGGCTACTGCTTAGGTGTTCGTGGTCATGGGAACCCCTGCACAGCCCAAACTCACCCCAGAACCTTCTTTTAGTCACCTCTGATGCTGCCTTATCTATAGAATACATATAGCAATATAGAGCTCTTTACAATAATTTTATTATTGTCTTTTCTGCTATTCCCTTCTTTATTGAAGAAAGAAAGCTTTTCATATTCCTTAATAGAAGGGGGAAGCTTATACTGTCATCTGAAATATCTGTAACAGGATAGAGTGCAGTTTAAGCATTAGTTGAAATTGCATTGTAGAACATCGAATACTTGGAACTTTTGAAAAGGAAATATAGTTATTTTTACAAATATTTACATTATTTACATTTTTATTTTTCATTGATGTATAATTAACACTGTGGTGATTGACTTATTTTTAAAGACTGAGTAGTCTTCTACCCCCAGAACAAAATCAATAAGGAAAACAAGAATAGATATTCCTAGGAGGTAGGAGAGTAGTAGCTTGTGTTTTTTGCTTCTTGTTTTGGTCAGTGGTTTTTTAGGGATTTTTTACTTAAAATATATCACCTTTCATGTTACTGATATGTTCTTTGTGCACAGTATTAGGAAAATTAAGCATGAACTCTGTTCTAACAGTTCCTCAAAGCAATGTTCACAATCTTAAAATTACATCATGAAACATTCAGGCATAGTTTTGAAACTGAGTTTGAAATTGAATTGAATTAGAATTTGGTTATGGAACTCTTGCCAAGCTTGGTATACAATCCATTACTGATTTGTTTCCTTTTCTTATTTCCTCTCCAAGCATTCTGTCTTACTAGTTATTCTGGTTTTAAATTTACTTTTCATTGTAGACTAGGAGAGGCTTAAAGATATATTTGTAGAAAAATACTCCTGTTAGTGTAAGTACATCTAACCCATCTAACTTTTAAGCACCTGTATGAATCTTAATGCAACTTTTGTTCCTTTACTTGCAACTGTTTTTTGCAGTGTATTTGGCCAGATTTGCTATAGGCTTTATGCTTTATGTGTTGTCCCCCTGATTTCAATGAAATTATCAACAGTGCATGAAATTGAGAATATGTGTTAAAAAAAACAGGATCTGAGGTCCTCTAGCGATTTCACCTGTGGACATTGTCTTAGAACATATATGTGCAAATTTTCTTCTAGTCTGGATCTGAATGTAAGCTAACTCTCTTCAGACACTGTATAGGCATGCAAAGAGTATTAATGTAGGGCTACCACTGCTCAGACATGGCTATGCAGCATCCAGATTAGACCTGACTGGCATCCAGTCAACTGCCGATACACACAGAGGAACTGATCTGTCCATGCTGTCATATTTCTGCCTATCTTCAATCTAGTGCCCAGTCCACAAAGAATAATCATTTCAAAGTGCCATGGTAAACCACACTGTGAAATGTTTTCTAGCATTTTTAAAAACAATATTGAGAATTTGAAAACTTTATCAGGTGGTAATCATCAAAGAATGGAAATTTAAAGCAAATTAATGAGTGACCACAGCATGGGGGAAGCAGGGACAACTTTTGCTATCAGTTTTACTTTATAGATATTTTCCTACCTCAGTTTGAAAACCTCAATATTTTAAGTTAAATCTTTTTTAAAATGCAGTCTAATGGGATGACTTGATGAACATATCTGAGAATTATATAAAAATAATCTTCTTATCATTAGTTTCATTGTAGAGATATGTGAAACCAGTAATATATGAGACTTTTGAAAAATTATTGCTGGAAACTATTTTCTCTTATTCAGGCTCTTCTAATTCCAGTTAAAGTTGTTTAAAGGGCAGGGGGAAGGGACTAATCCTGGATTAGAAAATGGGGTATTTGTGTAAAAATGGAAATAAATTTTAGAAAGCTATGTTAGTTACTTAGTTAATGCAATTAAAAAGTGAATTATCATCCAGATGATTTCTTGGAGAATTTGTGTGTGTGTGTGTGTATAGCAATTAGCAGGTGATTTCCTCTCTATTTCTTGGGAAGGAGAGAGAGAGGCACTTATGACAAAGGTATTTGTTCTGTTGTTGGAAAAAGGTTAACAGTTTAGTCCAATAATCTTAAAATCTGTGCAATAGGTTCTTTGATAAATAAAGATAAGACATCAAATAAACAAACCCCCAAGAAATACTTTCGAATTAATTTGTTTTCCTCATTTCACTTGTCAAATACTTTTATTGTAAATTCCTTTATACTGACTATATGGACCTAATCATAATTTCAAAATGTGATGAGAATCATGTGATAATATCTAAGTATTTACCTCTGTGGAAGAGAAACTTGATGTGGTCCAGCTTGCTGTTTGTATATATTTAAATAAAAAATATTCCAATTATGCTTTGCGACAAAATCAAGCAAAAATTTATGTTTCATTATAAAACTACTAGTAAAAGGTAAGGAAAAAAAAGTCAATGATTTTGTCTGTATTTAGGGATAAGACCCCACAGATTCTGCCACAGATTGTTTCTAACTGCTGAAAATAGGAAGATTACTGTCTTCTGTACACTAAATAATTTGAATGAGAATAAAAGGAACTATTAATTAGGCATAATGAATCCTTAAATTACATACACTGTTAGAAAACCTGTTGAATTCAGAGAATGAACCAAAATAAGACTAAATTTTGTGGAAGTAGAACAAGAATGTCTTTTTACAAAGGAAATTCACCAATTTGAATTTGTTTATATGCCTGACAAAATATTTTATTGAAGGAGATGTGTATTCAATTCATTATGTTAATTTCTAATTGCAGTGTGAACAATAAATTCAACTTTAGAAAGGGCTGTCAAATGCATCCAAGTATATCTAACCGTGGTATTATTTATTATTAGATCTACTGTAAGCAGTTCTGAGAAAGGACTATAGTGTTGAACCCTTATTATTATCATCAGGTTCACATCTACTCTTCTTGTTCTCCATTAATAGGTAGCATAGATCAGTCAGTATTAAAGGAATTGCCTCCTGAGCTCCTGGCAGAAATTGAATCCACCATGCCGCTTTGTGAACGTGTGAAAATGAACAAGCGCAAACGTAGCACAGTTAATGAGAAACCAAAATATGCTGAAATCAGTTCTGATGAAGACAATGACAGTGAAGAAGCTTTTGAATGTAAGTAGTACATATAAACCACAGTGGCTGTTGAAATTCTTAAATGTGAAGTAAAGCAAATTAAGGAAAACTTTCACAACAATTATATGCTTTAAGGGATTCTAGGTTCACTATATCCACTCAAGAGATCTGACCATCATTCTAAACAATTCATTGAGGACATTTGGGTTAAAAATAAATTATAATATTTCTCAAAGGATACTGTAGAACTGAATTGAGGTAAAACGAGACAAAATGATCAAGAGAATGAAAGATCTATGACATGTACACTGAATAGATTTGTACTGTTACAAATATGTATTTCAGAATTCTTTTGGTTGTCTAAAATTGGACTTTAAAAATATGAAATAGTGATTGTTATAGAAGATAAATTTCTTTTAGTATCTTATTAAGAAAGTGCATTCCGTTAAATTAAATGATGAGAACTAAAAATTGATGAAATAATTCTCATACAGTGAGTGCTAAATGTGTTTATTTAATAAGTGTTTGGAAGAATTCAGAAGGAAATTGGGTGTTTAAATTCTGAGTAGTCTGTATAAAATTAGTAATATGTCTTGAAATATTATTAGTACTTACATTTTTAGTCATTTTTATCTACTTCAAAATAAACTTTGTAGAGCAATTACTGATCGTGAGTAGCTGTTCCCATGTACATGTTATTTGCCTTGCAGAACCATCACAACTGTAACACATTGTTTTGTTTTGCAGCATTGATAAACTGCTCAGTTTAAATTTCTACTGGAAAGCAATATTGGAAGTGACTTTTCTCATGGAGATGTAGCTGGGGTCAGAATTTGTCCTACAGAGCATAAATTGATACTGATGATTTGTAAACTGTGGAGACAAATTTCATCTACCTCCACAAAATACTGTCTCCTGGGGGAAAAGAATTTTAGAATTGACAGCTCAGGCCTTGTGAACATGATTTTACTGCCTCCAGAAACAAGTCTGATCCATAAGCAGAACAACTCAAAAACATAAACTAAGTTATTAAATACTTGAACCACCACTGTGTAGAAGTTTTCAGAAGTGGAAGCCCTCTAGGGTGCAGTGCAGAGCATTAGTATCACCTCTGATTCAATGTTGGTTTTATTAGTTCTGAGCCTGAGCTGACTACTGACTATATCCTGGTGTAACTATATTCTGGTATATTTCCTATTCTTCACCATAAACTGGGGTTATGGAAAGAACTTGTCAGTTCTGTTCCAGTTCTGTCTGAATGTTTGGAGCCATTTTGCTCAGAAACAACCCTTTATACAGTATCTAAATTTCAGGAAGCTTTGGTAGAGACACAGAGATGTCAGGGTTGTTATATGCAAGTTCACATGAATAATAAACTCTTCCATACACATACGCTTTATTTCTATCAAGTTTCTGGTTTTGTATAGAACGTTTATCCCAGTTTTTCAACATTCAGTTGTGCAAGGTTTTTTGGTCCTGACTGAAAACTGATTATAATAACTTTCTGTGGTATATACTTGCTACCTGGCTGAGGATTGTGACTCCAACTTTCTCCTTTATACTGAATCTTTGGAAATATATATCAAGACAAAATTTTAGTTGTCTTGGCAAAACATAATATCTTTAAGTAACTAGATTGCCAAGGCTCACTGGACCTTGCTGTGTTAGATGGGCAAAGCAATCACTGAATTGGAACATTGACACCCAGTAATAGTCAGAATTAAGATAACTGAAGAAATTACCTCAGTGTTCTCTTATTAAAAGGATAAAACTTATTTTGATTTTTTCTACTTTCCCGACTTTGTTTAAAATAACAACTGCCCTGTAAATTTGTATTTTTAAATGTTTGCTTGTCTTTCCCAGTTTTAGGTACAGTTTTCATGTAATTCAAAAGAAATTGTTAGAATAATGTCATAACAGATTTTTATATTATAATTTTAGAATGTTTGTTTTACAGAATATCTATATGATAGTGTTTAACTTGCAAATGTATAATTTTGAGCTATTAAAAGTAGAATTTTTGTCCTTATAATGAAAATGCATTTCATTTCTAGCATCTCGTAAAAGACATAAAAAGGATAGAGATGAAGCTTGGGAGTATGAAGAACATGATAGAAGAAACTCTGGTGACCATAGGAGAAGTGGTTATTGTCATGAAGGAAGGAGAACTTCTGGTAGTAGCCGTTATCGTAATCGCAGTCCCAATGACTCTGATATGGATGATTATTCTCCTCTTCCTAGTCTCAGTGAGGGTAACTGTTTTAAAAAAATTATTTTCTTCTGCAATACTAGTGCATTTTTAAAGTATATGTTAAACATTTTAAAATAAACATCTTTACATGTAATATTGAATATAAGCATAAAAAGTGTAAACAGTCCTTTATTCTCTTAATTAGTGGCTAGAAAAATGAAGAAAAAAGAAAAACAAAAAAAGAGGAAAGCTTACGAACCTAAACTAACACCTGAAGGTAATTTTAGAATATTTATTTTCTATAGTTTGTATATTCTGGTTTGAATATAAAATAATTATTATACATTTCTTTTTCACCAGAAATGATGGATTCTTCTACTTTCAAAAGATTTACTGCTTCAATAGAGAATATTTTGGAAAATTTAGAAGACATGGATTTTACAGCTTTTGGTAATATGTCAGAAAGTTTCAAAAAGCTTTCCCCAATTAGAAACATAAGAAGGAAATTTGCATCTCAGTATTTTCAAACTTCCGTCTTTGTTATTTAATTGCATGTGATACATACTACAGTATACTGCATTTATATGGCTTCTACCTTTAGTGAAAGCCTTTACCTTTCCAATTTCACTTGCTACTACAGGAAGAATATCCTTCTTCCTCTCTGCAGAATCCAAAAGGGACATAAATCACAATAAGACAAATAATAGTCCCTTAAAGTGGAAAGGGTACCTCTTCTGTCAAATATATCTTTGTAAACAATACTAACATAAGATGGTTTTATTGCCAGTAATTTCTGAGGCACATAATTTTGAATCTGTTGTGACCTTTGGCCCAACAGAGGTTGATTATTCAATTCAGCAGCAGAGTACTTGTGCACTTATGGGTGAGACACTGAATCACTGTATGCTCCTTATCCATTTCAGTAGAAACTAAGCCAGTTTAGCATACGTGTCTGATGAAGTTCAGGTTCACCAAGATGACCAAGATGATTTTGAAATGGATAATGGAGCATTTGTTAATTTTTTTCTTACCATCTTTGTCACAAGATTAGAACAAGGGGAGGAACATAGTAAGCAAATCACTACAACTATGGTGTCTACAACCTTGGATTAAAAATATTTTTAATTTATGACTTTCAGTCATTTTTAACAAGTAGTCATTTTAACATAACCAAAAGTTGTCATTATCAGTCTTCATTAGATGGAACTATTATATGCTAGTTATTTGGAAAATGAGTTCTTTTTCTTCAGTTGGCTTTTTCATATTGGCTGTAAAATACTGGTTTCCTTGAAGTCTTATTAGAAATGTGATTGTTAATTTTTAATTATTTTCTTTTAAGGTGATGATGATGAGATTCCACAAGAATTGCTACTGGGAAAGCATCAGCTTAGTGAGTTGGGTAGTGAATCTGCAAAAATCAAGGCAATGGGCATTATGGACAAGGTACATCTTCATAGTATTTAACTCTTTTTCAACATTTAATTTTGTTAAACATACAAAAACATGTGTGCCCTGTGATATTTCACCCTCTTTAGGTGTACATGTGACAGATACTGTGAACAGTTGTGCTTCTGCTGAAGTTCTTAAAAACTTGCCACATCTTAAATGTTACTGTCTCTGAAGCTGAGACATTTTTGTTGAATGGTCCTCTGTGTTAGGGCTGACTCAGAGCACCATATGCCAATAGGTAACACATGCCTGAGCAGTAAAATCTAATAATTAATCTACTTTCACAAAAACACGTCATTCTATAGGCTTTACTCCTTACAGCTAGTGTTGAGCAACCACAGTAAAAGAGAACCTGCTGGCAAAGTCAAAAAATCCACCCTTGCTGATATATGCCATTAGTGCAATGTAAATGTATAATGTCTATCCAGCATCACACTGAATTGCCTACTTCCTTCCTCTCTCCAAAGAGACCTTTCAAACTTAGAAGATTTAATGCCCAAGCTGATAATAAGATTAATTTTTTGTAGACTGCATATTGTGATTTCTTCGCTATACTCTTTCCAACTTCTGTTCAAGGAAACTTTCTGTTGGCACAAACTGGTGGTATTACACCTCTAGAAACAATATTCTTGCTTTCCTTATCTTCCTAGAACTCTTGGCTTTGCGCAGTCTTGCGTTATATTCTTACTCTGCCTGCTCATGACCACTTATTATGTTTATGAAGTGTCTATGAAGCCACTTATACAAGTCACCCTGAAGGGTTTTCTTTAATCTGAGATTTAGATATTCTTCCTGGCCTTTCCTTTGATCTCACTACCTTCCTTTGTAGAGTGATATCAGCCTGAGTGTTTCTGTTTCCTGATAGTTCTCACCCTTAACCTCTGTTCCCTGTTTTTTTCGCATACATACTTACATGTATGCATAAAATCAAAATTTCTAAAGGTGAGCACCCAATAGTATCTGGATGAATGAAACTGACTCTTCTGGAGTTTAGCATATTCTACAGATTACTTAATCATAATTCTGTAGAACATCAGTAAGTGAATTTGAGTTACTTTTTTTAACATGCTAGTTTTTTTAAATTAACACAGTTATTGAGAATACATTTCCTTTTTATTAGCACTCAAGTATCAGGGAATTTTATTTCTGCTTGTCTATAGAACTTGGATTTTCTTTTAATAAAACTCTGTATGGTCAGTTAGAATTTGAGATTGATACTTGGATTTGGTAAATTTCTATTTCTATAATCAAAAGCATATAACTATACAAAATTAATTACAGAAACCTAATTTTAAATACATTTCTATATATTTTGCTGGTTTGCAGTTTGATTGCAGTATTAGAACATATTTCACTAGTTTAATTCTATCAACATTCTCAATCATGCTGTGTCAGAAACCAGACCAATCAAGATCCAGTCCTTATCTCAGATGGCTTACAATTAAAATTTGTCAGATTCCATAACCTGTTCTGTCCTTCATACATGGACATTTGTTCAGCAGTTTGGAAACCTTTCTATTCCTAGAGTTGACCGATGTTTTGTTTCTTGGTTTAGCTCTCAACAGATAAAACAGTAAAAGTCTTGAATATTTTGGAGAAGAATATTCAAGATGGAGCGAAGCTTTCTACATTACTTAACCATGTGAGTTTCAAATTACATTGTTTCACACCATTGTGTAGAATAGGGTTTTCTTCACTTGAGTCCCATATAGTGAGAGTTTCAAATACTGTGTGTGTCTGTGAAAGGATTTACTGATTTAATATGTATGTGATTAAAAGATTGCCAAATTTTAAGATTTGAAGTAACATTCAATTGCTTATATTATTTCAATATGTTTTACTATAGTACTGATAACTAACAGATGTATTGGGAGCAATTAGGTTGTCTTTTGACTTAATTTTAAATATTATATTTTCATCCTGAAATAGTCATGGTAACTGGTGTAACTTGCATCACTGGGCATTTATTTTTCTACTTTCCATAGTGTCCATAAAACATCCCTTATACAATGGAAGAAATATTACAGCTTTCATGTAGAGCATATTCTTCTCCTGAGCATTAAGAACTGAGAAAGTACTTCATTTAGGTCTGCTCTTATGCTGCAAAGTTGAAGTTATCAACATAAACAAAATTAACAGGAATCTGAAGATTTTACGGGGTTTTTTTCTGATATACCTAAAACTGCATGGGGATTTGGAGGGGTTTTTATGAGGTTCAAATGCATTACACATTTTTTATCTATTTATTTATTTCTACATTTCATAGTCAAAACAATATTCTAGCAAGAATAGAGTTCTTGAGTTTTCTGGGAAAAAAAACCCTTGATCTCTAGAAATAGAGAGTAATTATGTATATTGGAAAGGAAAAAATTAAACTTGAAAATGAAAACCAGAGACACATTATTTGTACCTAAATATTTTCATCTAGGTAGTTTGTTGGGTTTTCAAAGATTCAGTATGTGGTTCTGAATGTCTTTAGCAGTATGAAAAATAAGTGAAAAGAAGGTGCGGGTTTACCTGCTGTAATTCAATATGATTGAGTCTTTATGACTATGCCTTTAAAGTGATATTTTTCATTATCTTGTCATAGTAAAACTCAAGATTATGAAACAGTTAATGGAATTGTTCAATGATTGCAATTCAAAGTTTCAATTAAAAGAAGCAATCTTTAACGAAACAAGTTTTAGATTTTTTTTTAAAACCCATTGAACATGATTCAGGTCATTATGGCAAAGAAAGCCTCTGCTAAGGAGTAAGCTTATTTCTTTTACAGTGCAGTAAAAATATCCTACCTCCATGTCAGGATATTTTCCAGAGGTATTTTTTCTTGCACTTGCAAGATTAATTAGGAAAAAAATGGAAAAGATTTAAAAGTACTTGGGCTTTTATTTTGTGGGTTTTTTTGGTGTTGGGTTTTTTTGGTGTTAGGTTTTTTAACCCTCCATTGTGTAATAACAAATGATTTAAAGTCATTCTGTGCAAGAAATTTATAGGGATCTCCTGATTTGCAGATTTCTGATGATTTTTCAAATATATATAATGCACTGTGATATTTAGATTCCCTTACCCCAAATGAAAAAAGTTGATATGGTTTCACCAACCCGTTATTTTTACAAGGAAAGCAAACAGTGTTGAACTGTGCTATTATACAGGCAAGAAAGATTATTTTTCTCTGTACCAGAGAAGTTATTAAAAATTTCACCTGGTTTTGCTATTAATAACATTATTACAATATTTCAGTAGTGCTAGGTGGTCATAATTAACCTCATGTATGTTTGCTTTTATAACTTGTAGAAACACAGAAATACAGAGATTCCATACCCTGTGCTAAATCTAAATGGTCATATTTGATAAGACGTGTTTTAAATCCATTGATATAGATGAGTTGATCTGTGGAGAAAGTTGTATTCTTATAAGTTTTGTGTGACTTAACAGTCTTTTTGTCTAAGAATTCCCTCTAGTGGCAAAAATTAGACTGATCAAAGCAGCAATTTGTGTTTAGGTCACTGAAGAAAACACTAAATGAATGAGTTTAGATTTTGATTAAGGTACATCATTTTAAGTAGAGAATGTGACAGTCCTCCTTAAAGGTGCTTCCCAATGATACACAGAAAGCTTCTTTGTGTTTTACCAGAAGAATACAGTGAGATATTGAAGAATTGTTACTTAGGGTTACAAACTTGTGGCTAGTAAAATAAACATTTGTTGATTTCTAAAACAAACTATTTTTGTATCATAAAGGAAATACTGCATTTTTTACGTGTGTATGTAAATATATTAAAATAATGTTCTCTTTTACTTGGTAAGGATAAAAATTTAACTTCTTGTTCACACTATCTTGTTTTCTATCACCTGTTACAGAACAATGACACTGAAGATGAGGAGAGATTATGGAGAGATCTTATTATGGAGAGAGTGACAAAATCTGCTGATGCTTGTCTTACTGCTATCAATATTATGACATCACCAAATATGCCTAAAGCTGTATATATTGAGGACGTAATAGAAAGAGTAATTCAATACACAAAATTTCATTTGCAGAACACTCTCTATCCTCAATATGATCCTGTGTATAGAGTGGATCCTCATGGTGGTTAGTATGCTAAATGTTTTCCATTTGGCATTTTGTTATCATATGCATATCTTCAGATGGGGGTGTTCAAGAACGGTTTTAAAAATCTTGGATCCAGAATTCAGAGTAATTACAAACATATGAAATTCTTGCTTTCCAGCAGATTTTACTAAATAGTTTTTCTTCTGTAAACACTTGCATTTACAAAGCTGTAGGCATGGAGTTGTTTTGGAGATATTTTTTGAGGAAGATGATCATCTTTCTAATATCTGATGTAAGTGAAAGACTGAAAATTTAATAAAGATATTTTTTATTTTCTAGGTGGTGTTTTAAGTTCAAAAGCAAAACGTGCTAAGTGTTCCACCCACAAACAAAGAGTTATAGTGATGTTATATAACAAAGTTTGTGACATTGTCAGCAGTTTGTCAGAGTTGCTAGAGATACAGCTTCTCACCGATACAACTATTCTTCAAGTAAGTTTTATAAGAAAAATTTTTGTCTGAGAATGTTTTTTTCTTTTCCCAGAGAGACTGTAAAGTGTGATTGTCTCAATGACATGAAGTATGAAATAAGTACAAACTTCTGAATTATTAACAGCAGTGACTAGTTTGTTCTGTAGTATGTAGTCGGCAGAACATTTAACGTTTAGATCTTTAATGTCTTTTATTGTATACTTAAGAAAATTTTAACCTGATTGTATTAAAATATCCTTTAATAAATTTATTTGCAAATAATATGAAGTAATACATGTTGCTGAATACCCTACCTGATGAATGAATAATCTACTTGTGAAAATGCATAAATATCAGTTTGTTAGTCAAATATACTTACAATAACTTCTTTCTGTTGATAGATATCATCTATGGGAATAACACCTTTCTTTGTTGAAAATGTTAGTGAACTACAGTTATGTGCCATCAAATTAGTGACTGCGGTAAGTAATTTTTAATTTGCAGTTTCATGTTCTTCTGGGAGTTATTAGGGCATTTACATAGGCTGTATTTTTGCTGGTAGAGAATTAGAGTTTAGAACTAATTTTGTTCTTGCATATTTTTACAGTTTGGTATCACGATCTAGGAACAGTATTAAAGCTACCTGAACTCCTCTCATTTTCAGAGTACTCTATAGGAAGAAATAGCCTACTTAAGCCATGGAATTTACTTAATTTTGGTTATGTTGTTTAAAGTGAAAACAAAAACCCCTTCCTCTTATCTGTTCTTTCTTGTCTTAAGAAATCTTAACAACGCAATTTTCCTTACTTCCCTTGTTAAGATTAGAATTTATGCAATGATATAAGCTATAGAACTTGTAGGATAGTTCTATATAATGTATAATAGAACTATATAATAGAATACGTCCTTTTCCTTAGAAGAGGGGGCTATGTGAAAAAGTCATGGGGCAGATAAAATATTTTTTCAGGAAAATTGCAGCACAACACTAGTGTTTGTTCAAGTGAAAGTTTTTCATCTTTGTAAGGATTATGTACTCCAGTATTTATAAAAGTAGTTCTGCCTAAACAAAGAGAGAAGCAAACTCTACAATCCTGACCCAAGAAATTGAAATAATATTTTATGTCATGCAAACATTAAAGCTTAGTTTTCTCAGATGTGCTCTAAAACTATACATGTGTTCATATATAATGTATGTTACCATAGACTTTTGCTCTATATTGGAGTCTGAAAGCTTAGCATTACACTGTTTGACTTTCAGTGTATTGTACCATTGGCAGAAAATTTTAAAACATATGGTATTTTCAAGAGCTATTACACATTTATCCTATTTGAAGATTATTTAAAAGTTATATTTGAAAAAGGTTTTATGTATTTTATAAAGAAATGTTTTGAAAAAACAAAGCAATGCATTAAAAACAAGGTGTGCATGAAATATAATTTATTTAAATGTCTTGTAAAGCATATGTTTCTATATATAATTTTTAACAATCTATTTAACAAGTGATATTTTATGTTACAATAAATAATTTTTTAACAATTATGTAACTGTTAAATAGGTGTTCTCCAAGTATGAAAAACATAGACAGTTAATACTAGAAGAAATTTTCACTTCCCTTGCAAGACTACCAACTAGCAAGAGGAGTTTGAGAAATTTCAGGTAATTTCTGACATTGAAAATTTGTAGACAGTAGCATTTACAGTTTGTAGATGTAGGATTTTAGGCTTCAGTATTAACTTGTTCTTTAAAAATCTGTGACTACACAAGCTATGTTTTGTTAGAGGTTGATATTTCAAAACCTCTGCAGTGAGAACAGAGGTCTGACAAATGCATTTTGTAATAATCACTGTTTCATATGCCATCATATTTATGCCTGCTTACAAAAATAATTGCAATATCTTATTATTTGTCTCACTAAGTATGTAAATTACTGTAATACTAGTGTGCATTCATAGTTTTTTTTCTTGGAAAATCCTTTGGTTTATTCATAGGGATTTTATATAATTTTGTCTTTGCTAAAGCTTAATAGGAATATTCTGGCTGAATTTCTTTAAGGACATGCTTAGAGCACTCTTTCCAGAAAATCAATCTAATACTCCTTTGAATGTGTCTCATTTAGAAACTACTCCATTCACTTTAACTGTCTTTTAAGCACTTGAGCTGGATTTCAGTGCGCCTTCTGAATAATAGTATAGGTTCAGGTTAAATTAGAGAAAGAATCTGACCTGGATAGGATTTCAGTTAAAATCGAGGTTGGCCTCTGCAAATGATTCTAAAACATTTGTTATTAGTGTTGATTTTGTTCCTTGCTTCCGTACATCTTTTCCCTGGAGACAGACAAGTTGTCAATGAAATAGGTTGTCTGATCCAGGGTGCATGAACAGGAAATATCCAGGAAAAGAAATTCACTGAAACTTTGAAGTTGAATTCAGTAATCCATGAGTGCTTGTTCCTAGTATTTCCTATTGCTTTGTTTATAGACATCAGAGAGATCTAGTAAACAGGAAGGTGGTAGGCATAGGAACATAATTGGTAGATACCCTCTTTGAATTGGAACGCTTACTATAAGGAAGTTACTATCTCAAGGCCATAATGACTGCACTGTTTATCTCTAGAGTCCTCACTCTGTTCTATTGGAGGACATTCCCTGTCTATGGGTGTAGTCATGAAGGGTACAGTTTGCCTAAAATTTTATAGGAAAATATCGTCTCTGTACAAATAGTTAGAGATAACTTCATAAAGATAATAATTGCAATCTGTTTTGTGTCTGGTTATTATTTTGATAATTTGGGGAGAATGATGTCAGAGATTATCACCTTTTCATATTGTTAAGGGCAGCATTAAGTGGTGTTGATGTACTTATGGGTAGTAAACACCATACTATTCGTCAGGTTAAATCACTTGGAAGGGGAGAAATGTTAGGTGGAGTGTATTTGTACTGGTCATACCAACTCAAAAGACACTCTTACATGCTGAAGTTTATAGACTGTTACGCTACCTGAGATTACCATAGGTGTAACTTGTAGAAGTCAGTCCAGCTTGTGGTCACCAATTTCTTTTGTTTAAAAGTCCTGCACATTTCAGATACATTAAATAATATATAAGTAATAAAATATTATGACAAGTTTGGTCCATTTTTTGTTAGACCAAATCCTTCACTGCATAAGAGAGAAGCAAATGACTAGATAAATGTCTATAACACAGATTTCTAGCTTTGATTATTATTTTAGAAATATGTTATTTAGGATCAAAAATTTTTGTTTTCTCTTTTTTGTTTATTTTTAGTGCTAATGCTGTCTTATTAACAGGTTAAACAGCAGTGACACTGATGGAGAGCCTATGTATATTCAGATGGTAACAGCACTAGTTCTGCAGCTTATTCAATGTGTGGTGCATTTGCCCTCAACGGAAAAAGATTCTAATTCAGAGGAGGAATCAAATAAAAAAGTAAGTTTTATTTAAAGAACCATAATTTTTTCTTTGGTGCAGGAATGACTTTGTAGGTATAATAGTTTATGACAGTACTCTAGTAATTAAGCATTTTAATTTTATGTCTGCTGTAATTATTTGATGAATGAGAAATGCTGATCTGGAAATTATATTTCTGTGTATGCTAAAATACTAGAAAAATAAATCTTGTTATTTTTAGGTGGATCAAGATGTGCTTATGACTAACTCATATGAAACAGCCATGAGAACAGCACAAAACTTCCTTTCTATTTTCCTTAAGAAGTAAGTACTGTTGCATTCTTTAGTGTATTGATGAAACCAACTCCAAATAAAATCTGTCACACCTTAAGACAAAATAAACCACTTTACAATGATAAATGACTACTAATAAAGTTACTTATAACAATATATTTTATAGATCCCTGAGAGCTACCTGTCTGGACAAAAAATTTTATGGAACAGAAATTCTACAGACTTTAAGAACACATTTAAGAATCTTTCTGATAATTTATATAGGATCCTTTTATCAGGGGTCTTTTACTCATCTGAAGCATGGAAGGGAAAGCTGAGTAAATACTTAAGTGATGACACCAGATTATTTCAGTCATCAAAATGACAAAAATATAAATACCCTAAAATTTCTTAAATTTCCATAAAGTTAGGAATGTCAATAACTCAACAAGGAAAAAAACCTTAATAACTAAAAGATTTATAACAAAAAGTCCTGAGGTTTTTATTGTGTTAATTTCTATTGTTAAACCAAAAGGCTATTTATGGGCTATCGAGCCATCTCTCTGCATAATTCTGGTATAGTTAAAGTTAGGGGTGCCACATATAAGTGAAACACTATCATGTATGTTATCTTTTGATTTTTTTATATTCTGATTTTAACCTTTGTGGAACATAATACTGAGATGCCTTATCACTGTGAGATAAGTCAGACCAGGTTTAAGGACACAACACCTCCTAAAAACCCCACTCTAGGTTAAGCTTTAGAATTTTATCTACTTTGTCCATCCAAGTTAATGCAGACTTTAACTCAAAATGATAAATAAATCTTAGGAGCAAAATTCTACTATACAGGATTAGTTGCTTTACTTGCAGTGCAACTTGGAGTGATAACTGTGTAAACTATTTGTCTGTAAATGGAAAAAACCCAAGTTTTATAATAATATTTCAGATATTTTTTTTAAAAATTGCATAAAACTGTTTTTCTGGATAAAAATAGGATTAACTCTGTTTGCATCAGAAGAAAAGCTTAAATGACTCTTAAATTCACTTATGACATGCATTTCGATTTAAACAGGTGTGGCAGTAAACAAGGGGAAGAAGATTACAGACCACTGTTTGAGAACTTCATTCAGGATCTTCTTTCCACAGTTAATAAACCAGAATGGCCAGCTGCAGAGTTACTACTTAGCTTATTAGGAAGGTTATTGGTAAGGGATTCTTGGTTTTGACTATTATATTAATTTATTTCTTATTAAAATGAAACTTATTTCAGCTCGAACTATTACAGTAATGCTTTCTGATTATTGACACACACATGCAGCATGTAAGGATTTTCTTACATGTATCACTATTATGTAATGCATAGAAAATAAAATTTAGGTCAGAAGATCATTGATATGGAATATAGTTAAGGTCATATATATACATTTTGTCATTGAAGTCCACTTCTAATATTCCATGATGTTTTCCACATTAAACATGCCATTCTATAGCATTCAATAAGTGTAGAAATTCATAGAATCATAGAATATCCTGAGTTGGAAGGGACTCACAAGGATCATCAAGTCCAACCCTTAGCCCTGCACAGGACACCCCAACAATCCCACCCCATGTGCCTGTGAGCATTGTCCAAACGTTCCTTGAGCTCTGGTAGGTTTGAGGCCATGACCACTGCCCTGGGGAGCCTGTTCAGTGCCCAACTGCCCTCTGGGGGAAGAACCTTTTCCTAATATCCAACCTAAACCTCCCCCAACTCAACTTCAGGCCATTCCCTTAGATCCTGTCACTGGTGACGAGAGTGAAGAGATCAGTGTCTGCCCCTCCACTGCCCTCTGTGAGGATATTGAAGACCACAATGAGGTCTCCCCTCAGTCTCTTCTCCAGGCTGAACAGACCAAGTGCCCTCAGCCCCTCCTCATAAGGCTTCCCCTCTAGACCTTTCACCATCCTCATGGCCTCCTTTAGATGCTCTCTTCATTCATATTCATTGAGAATAAAGTCAGAATAATACCTGTAATTATTCATAGCATCATAGAATGGTTTGGAAGGAACCTTAAAGATCATCTAGTTCCAACCCCCTTCCAAGGGCAGGGACACCTTCCACTAAACCAGGTTGCTCAGAGCTCCATCCAACCTTGAACACTTCCAGGGATGGGGCATCCACAGCTTCTCTGGGCAACCTATGCCAGGGCCTCACCACCCTGAGGTGAGAATTTCTTCCTAATATCTAATCTAAACCTACTCTCAGTTTGAAGCCATTCTTCCTTGTCCAGTAACTCCATGCCCTTGTAAAAAGTCCCTCTCCAGCTTTCTTATAGGCCCCCTTCAGGTACTGGAAGGTGCTCCAAGGTGTCCCCAGTGCCTTCTCTTCTCCAGGTTGAACAGTCCCAACTCTCTTTGTCCTCATAGGAGAGGGGGTCCAGCCCTCTGATCATCTTGGTGACCTCCTCTGGACTCGCTCCAACAGGTCGATGTCTTTCCTGTGCTGGGGACCCCAGAGCTGGACACAGTACTCCAGATGGGGTCTCACCAAAGCTCAGCAGAGGGGCAGAATCACCTCCTTCACCCTGCTGGCCACTCCTCTTTTGATGCAGCCCAGGACACCGTTGGTTTCTGGGCTGCAAGCACACATGGCCAGGGCATGTCCAGCCTCTCATCCAGCAGCACCCCCGAGTCCTTCTTGGCAGGGCTGCTCTTGTTCTGCTCATCCCCCATCCTGGATTGATACCAGGGGTTGCCCTGACCCAGGTGCAGCACCTTGGACTTGGCCTTGTTGAACTTTATGAGGTCCACCCCTCGAGCCTGTCCAGCTTCCTCTGGATGGCCCCATCCTTCAGGTGTGTCAACCTCACCACTGAGTTTGGTGTCATCTGCAAACTTGCTGAGGCTGCACTTGATCCCTTCATCTGTATCATTAATGGAGATATTAAATAACACTGGTCCCAATACGGACCCCTGAGGGACACCACTGGTCACTGATGTCCATTAGGACTCTGAGCTGTTGACCACGACCCTCTGGATGTGACCGTCCAAGGAGTTCCTTATCCATCTGACAGTCCATTCATCAAATCCATCTCCAATTTAGAGAGAAGGATGTTGTGGGGGACCGTGTCAAAGCCTTTACAGAAGTCCAGAAAAATGACATGTGTAGCCCTTCCCTTGCCCAGTGATGGAGTCACTCCATCATAGAAGGTCACTGGGTTGGTCAGGCAGGACTTGCCCTTGGTGAAACCATGCTGGCTGTCCCAAATCACCTCCCTGTCCTCCATGTGCCTCAACAGAGGTTCCAGGAGGTTCCATGATCTTCACAGGAACAGAGGTGAGGCTGGCAGAGCAGTGGTTCCCAGGGTCCTCCATTCTATTCTTTTTAAAGATGGGGACAATGTTTCCCCTTTTCCAGTCACCTGAGACTTTACCTGATGGCCATGACTTTTCAAATATGTACTGCTAATTTCAAATGGAGAGTGGTTTGGCAATTCCATCAGCCAATTCCTTCAGAACTCTGGGATGCATCTCAACAGGTCCCATAGACTGATGTACATTCAGGTTCCTCCGGTGGTCACAAACCTGATCTTCACTTACAGTGGGAGGGACTTTGCTCCCCCAGTCCCATACTTCTCTGGACTATTCCTTTAGCATAGAACCTGAAAAAAAATAAGTAATTTGGTCTTTTACAAGTTTGGTCTTAAAGTAAGTAGTACGTTTACTGATTACAGAATGTGAATATTTTCGTTGGCATGTTTTTGAGAGTTGTTCTTCAGTATTACAATACAATTAATACAGAAATTTGAGCTGATTATTTGGAATGTATTTTATGGTCCTGTTCCTGGTAAAATGTAGCTTTCATTATGCTTGTGTGAATAATGACAAAGTTGTATTATGGTGCTATGCTATTGCAAAGGATACCTGGTCTACTAGATGTCCAGTTTATTTTATAAAAATACATATTTTTAAAAAACTAACAGGTATATTTGTAGATTGAAAGACTTAATAAAGGAAAAAACATTAATGTAAACATTAATGTAGTTACATCTGTGATGTAATAGTAAATTACATAATTTTATGCAGCATGGAAGTTAGGTGGAATTTTTAATAAAGTCAAGCAATGTCTTGTGAGAAGAATCTCAGTTGCATAAATAAATAATTTTTATAACAATTTATTCTGCTTTTCTTAGGTTCACCAGTTCAGTAACAAATCTACAGAAATGGCATTAAGAGTTGCATCACTTGACTATCTTGGAACTGTAGCTGCAAGACTCAGGAAAGATGCAGTCACTAGCAAAATGGATCAAGGCTCTATAGCGAGAATACTCAAACAGGTGTGTGAAAGATCCTGTACCAGTTGGATTGAGATGTATCTATTTAAAAGTTTAAACATTTTATAGATGTGTGAAAAACTGGTTTTTTGGAGAATGAGTTTTCATTGTTGTTCAGATTTCTGAATCAAATATACTCCATTTATAAGTATTCATGTCTTTCTCTCACCATCTCCCTAGTGATCATTTTAAGTGGTTAATTAAAATGGTAAAACCAGTTTTCCGGTGACAATTTAAAGGAAATAATGGAGTGACAGTTGGATTATATCTTAAGAGACGTTAAAATATATATGTGTATGTATGTATGTGCATTTGCTATTGCCAAATGGTAACTGAGTTTATGGTGCTCATACACAAACTTTTGAGAGTTAAACTGTTAGGTCTGTAAGGTTAGTTTTTATGTAATGGAGCTGGTATTGGGGGACTGTGGGGGGGATGTTGTTATTTTTGTGGGGATTTTTTTTACTGAACTTGCATATATCTTTCATTAGAGAATACATATTCACATTTCTGTTAATGTTGCTTATCAAAATGTCTCCAAATCTGCAAGGGTGGCAGCAATTAAAGATGCAGCTTATGCATTTGGACTCTCTATAGTATGATAAGAAAATCTTGGGTCTTATGTGTCCTTTTAAAAATGTGAACTTTCACATTTCTTATGGATACTATATATTCCTTTCTGAACTAATTATTCTTATCATGATTAGATCTAAAGTTGAGTAGTCATATCAAGTTTGTTTCCCTTTCAGTTACCTGAAAAGACTCCAGATCTATTATATGTATTTTATAATGACTGTTACAGATTTATTTTGAAGGAAAAACTTGTGCATATTACAGACATTCGAATGAATCAAAATTCATCTACTCCTTTAGGAGGCTGATACTTCCCATAACTTTTGTCAATTAGAATATTGTACTACATATAGTGTCAAATCTTTATGTTCATGGCTTATTATAATTTATACTTCTATGTGCTAAGGGGTTATAATTCTCCTTCATTGGCAGTGATTTTGACAGTTGTACATTAGACTTCATAAGCAAATATTTTAGAAGAATACTTTTCTCTTTCCTTATCTCCAGGAGTTATATAGCAGTATCGAAAGATATTCTAAAAAGATTCATACCTGAGTGGTGACCTGAATTTGTCGATTTGTTTTGGGTTTTTTGCAGGATCAGGCAATAACTAGGCATTGGCATCTGCAGAAAATAAAATAGCTGTGGGCAATTGAGTGCTAAAAGATTGTTTTCTGTTACTCAGGAAGCTTAACATCAATGATGGCAGATAGTACATTGTGGAAAGTGTATACTATACAGTACCATCAGTCAGGGTAGACAGTGTGTTGTTTATAAATTATTTGTAACATAAGAACAAATAACTATTTGAAAATGTGTACATGACACCTAAGCTTCACTTTGTTACTCAAATGTCAAGAAAATAAGATCCATTGGTAGACATATTCAGTTTTAGTCATCAGAAATATTTTTAATCTTTTCATTCAGAAATGAACTTCTATCTCTACACATTTTTCTTTCCTGCTGAATTGAAAGCTTAGACTGTTGGATATTTCCTTCTACCCTCTGATATCATTACCAGGATATTCCCCCAATGATTGATGAATGCTTATAACACTGTCTATTGTGGTTTGGGCTCATGAACTGTATAAATGTAGGAGAGAATCTATTCTGTTCTGACATTTTTAAAAAGTAGATTTTTTTCATATAAATCTGTCATAGATTGTCAAGTTGAACACTTGTGCATGCTTTTCATTAGTTTCTCTCTTCATATGCCGATCTTCTGGACTTGTAACTGTACCTTTTTCCATGTGCTGTTGTTTGCAAGCTATATTACATGCTACACTTGTCAGAAGATTCTCAATCTGTGCTGTTCATACAGAAGTTGATGGTTAGAAGTTACAGATTTTATTGTTGAAGAAGAAAAATGCTTTGTAGATGAAGAAGTTTAAACCAGAAATTATTCTTCTACTTTTTTTATCAATACTGAATATGATTTGTTGTGAGCTTCACAGTTTCTTTTTGTTTGTTCTGGTATTTTTACTTTTTTTAATAGTTAGGCAGTTACAGTTCATCAAGTAACTTTTTTTCCAGTCTTTTGTCCACAGAATTTAACATTGGTTGAAAACCAGACTTTCAAATCACAATTTGCATATATATTAGGGTGCCAAATATATATTAATAAACCTATATTAATATTATGTGTACTGCAGATGTGTTTTGAATTCTTGAACTCATTGATTTTGGGGGGGGAAATCCTTTTTTCTTCTGTAGCATCGGCAATTACAAGGACCTGCACATTTCAGTATAATAGTAAGGAAAAAAGGGTGGTTTATGTTTATGGGTTTATGATGCCTTGTAGGTGTTGAGAAAGTTAGTTTCTGATTCATTAACAAGTTAATTGATACTTATTTGTTCTCTAACCCCTATATAGGGAAAAGTACATTGTCTGATCATATACAGATTTGTTATTCAATTTACATAGGTTAGAACTATTTAAGAGATCAGGATATACATATTTCCTATTAAAGAGCCTCTTGAAAAAAAACATTCTGTTTTTAACATTCACACAGTTTAGATATTTACAAATCTGATACATAGTTCTCAGAATAATATTTCATATGTAATCCTTTTTGTACATCTTGAAAGTGCTTCACAGGAAAATGAATATTAGCCTATTCTGTAGATAGGCTTTATGCACTTGGTAGAATTTTTATAAAATGTATGTTTGTTCTCAAGGTTTTTGACTGATAGAAACTTAGTTGAGTCTCAGAGAGTATGATTCTTTAATGCTAGAGTTCAGGGGTGTTTGGGAATAACCTCTGTAAATTCTTTGCTACATGGATTGAGCATACTTGCTGTACTTTCTCTGTATTGATGCTTTAAACCTGAAAACAGTTATACCAAATGTTTTGAAAAGGGATAAGTTATTTTTATTTCTTTGATGTTTCCCATATGTTTGTACTGTTGTCTGTGTTTTGTATTTATGTTCATTTGACTTTTTTGCCTTTTATCCCTTGTTCACCTGAGAAATCATTGTTTCAGTATGCAATATTGAGAGAGCTAGCAATGCATTTTATAGGTTAAATCTTGTGTCAGTCTACTATGTGTGATTTCAGCCCTTTGTTTTTCCTTAGGAACAGAGGGTCTTCATACAAGATAACAGAATGAAAATTATTCAAAACAGTTTGTTTTAAAACCAGTCTTATTCTTCTGTTAATCTTTTTTAGACTTTGGAGCCACAGTCTAATTTGGTTGTCTCTATAAAGTTTAGAAGTAATTGATTTAAAAATTATTAATTTTATTGATAATTGCAGAACATTAACTTCAGTGTATTTTATATGTGGACATGCAGATTTTCAGATGATAATCACCACTGTGAAATATTCTATTTTATAAATATCTTTTTATTTCCTATAGGTTTCAGGAGGAGAAGATGAAATTCAACAGCTGCAAAAGGCTTTGCTAGATTATCTGGATGAGAACACAGAAACTGATGCATCATTAGTGGTAAATTTCAGCTTTCTGGTGTCAAGTTTATATAAAAATAATTTCAGTAACATGTAATAAATAAAATTATTTTTGGTCATGCATATTAGGGATTCAATTAAATTGTCACACTAACATATACTGTTGATTATGTTTTCCAAAATATGGTTGATGCATTAGACTCAATCTCATAAATCTGATAATTTCACTCTTCTACATCTGTTGTTTTTGTTTTCTGTGTATCCTGCTGTATTTCTCCAGTTTTCTCGGAAGTTTTATATAGCTCAGTGGTTCCGTGATACAACTATGGAGACAGAGAAAGCAATTAAATCTCAGAAGGATGAGGATTCATCTGAAGGAACTCATCATGCAAAAGATGTTGAGACCACAGGGCAAATCATGCATAGAGCGGAAAGTCGCAAAACATTTCTTCGCAGCATCATTAAAACTGCTCCATCTCAGTTCAGTACATTAAAGTACGTTTGAGCACCACTGATTTCTTTATTAACCATGCATTTGACATTTTTAATCATTTTTTATAAACATGTCCTAATTAAAACATTGGATTTGTTGCAGGATGAATTCTGATACTGTGGACTATGAAGATGCATGTTTGATTGTTCGCTACTTGGCCTCTATGAGGCCATTTGCCCAGAGTTTTGATATTTATTTGACACAGGTAAACTGTGATCGAAGTCTTAGTACAGTGAAATGCAATCGGTTTCTGATTCCAAACACTTCTGTGGTAGTGTGCCATATCTGTTCATTGTTGAGTATGGTTGTTTAACAGCCCATGATAACACCATGGGCTTTCATATTCTGTATTGATGATATAAGTGCTTATATTTCTTTTTCTTGCATGCATTTCATATGTCATATGTCATATTGTACATACATTGTTTTATTTGGCTTTGGATGTATGTGGCAAAATCAATATCTTAGATGTGCTCAGTAAAAGGATAATTGCAAAATGTTGAAATCTTTTTTACAGTTTCTGTAAGATGCATGCTCATTTGGTAATATTAACTTATTAAATTTATCTTAATTTGATCATATAAGCCAGCTTGGCTAGTTGCTTGCAGTGCATGTTACTGTCACTTTGGAAGCTGTTGTTTAACCAGTGTGGTTTCTTTCTTCTGGGAGACGAGCACTAACATGTTGTCATGACGACATGTTTGAACTCCAGTACTGGTTTGGTTTAGTTTAGGTTTTGTTACTTATACTGATCTGCATACAGAGGCATTCTTAAAATTATAGTGCTCAAATCCTCGTCTTCCGTTGAAAAAACTATGGTGAAAGTCACAACCAAATGGCAAAAGTAGAGTTTACAATGAAAGGTCTTCTTATTTAATGAAATCATTAACATGTTATTCTGCTGCATTTTTGCCTGTTAAACAGTTTACTACCTTCCCAAAGCAAATGAATCTTTTTTTTTGTTCTTTTATTAGATTCTGCGTGTACTTGGTGAAAATGCAATTGCTGTTCGAACAAAAGCCATGAAGTGTCTGTCTGAGGTTGTTGCTGTAGACCCCAGTATTCTAGCCAGGGTAAAAAAATCTGAAATATCCATCATGCTCATGCATTATTCTGTCACACTTAAAAGAAATCTTTATTTCTTATTTTGGATCTGTGTTTTATTTGTTCTTTTTAGCTGGATATGCAACGAGGTGTTCACGGACGGTTAATGGATAACTCCACTAGTGTACGAGAAGCAGCTGTGGAGTTGCTTGGCCGATTTGTGCTCTGTCGTCCTCAGCTTGCTGAGCAGTATTATGACATGCTGATCGAAAGAATATTGGTACCGTGACTTTTAATAATTATGATAAAATAAGTGTAATTGGAAAATTTGTATTTGACTGAGTTTATATGTTTAATAATATGGAATGATGATTCAAAGAGTAAATGGTATTTTATTATTTTTTGGGGGAGCATTAAGATCAACCTTGTAAAATGCATTGCTTGTTTTCAGTGAGGCTTTGTTATACTGTCATGGTTTAACCCCAGCCAGCCACACAGCCCCTTACAGCTGCTCGCTCACTCCCCCACCAGTGAGATCAGGGAGAGAATTGGAAGGGAAAAAGCCAGAAAACTCGTGGGTTGAGATAAAGACAGTTAAATAGGGAAAGCAAAAGCCACTCGCAAACAAAGCAGAACAAGGAATTCATTCAAACAAAGCAGAACAAGGAATTCATTCAGCCCTTCCCATGGGCAGCAGGTGATCAGCCACCTCCAGGAGAGCAGGGCCCTATCACACGCAACGGTGACTTGGGAGGACAAACACCATCACTCCAAACATCCCCCCCTTCCTCCTTCTTTCCCCCACTGTATATACTGAGCATGATGTCACATGGTCTGGAACATCCCTTGGGTCAGTTGGGGTCACCTGTCCTAACTGTGTCCCCTCCCAATCTCCCACACACCTCCAGCTCCCTCCCTAGCAGGGCCATATAAGGAGCAGAAAAGGCCTTGGCTCTGTTCAAGCCCTGCTGAGCAATAACAAAAACATCTCTGTATTATCAACCCTGTGTTCAGCAGAATCCCAAACACAGTCCCACACCAGCCACTCATTTGCTATAGTTACATGATAAAACATGTTTGTAAAGTGTTTTGGAGATGTGCATATGAGCATACATGAAGATGTTCATTCCTGGCATTAAGATTAAGCATGTTTTGAATAAAGTAATAGGAAATTAAGTTCCTCATCCTTCTCGATAGACAAAACCTAGGAAAATGGAAAATATTTGCTGCATGTATCATCCATAAGCTTTATCCAAAGGCTTTTGAAGTATTACAGTCCAAAAGGTCTTGTGTGTTCCAACAAAGTAACTAAAGCATCATCACACCTAGCTTGTAAACTCTTGAATTAAGAAGTGGAATTATACATTTGCAGTGTCATGAGCTCTTAAATGGGAGGATATAAATCGAGGAACCATTTCAATGTTTTGGGGACTCAGCCAAAACCTTTAGAATTGTTGCAAATAAAGTTATGCTGACCTTTTGTATAAATATACTCTAGCTGCCTTTTCTGAATACATTTTGCAGGTCAGATTGTGTGACCATCAAATATGAATTTATATAATACATAAATTAAGTAATATGTCTGATTTCTTTTCAAGAGCATAATGCTTTTCTCCTCACAGGATACTGGTATCAGTGTAAGAAAAAGAGTCATAAAGATACTTAGGGATATCTGCATTGAACAACCAACATTTCCCAAAATTACTGAGATGTGTGTGAAAATGATTCGGAGAGTTAATGACGAAGAAGGCATTAAGGTAGAATGAAACATATCCTTCAGGATTTAAATTATCATAATTGATTTCTGTATTTTGACCCAAATATAATCAAAAAAGTATTTCATTGCTCCTTTGTTATATAGCTTTCTACATTGCTGTCTGACTTGGTTTTCTTTTCTTGCTTCTATTTCTTCAAGTTCTTGTTGATGATCAAAGGATTTTAAAAAGTTCTTATCTTAGAGTTTTGGGGATTTTTCTCTTTGCAAGGGTTGTATCTGGTTCTTGTCTTTTCTAGCAAATAAAATTAGCATATCAAATTCCTTTCTGAAAACAAAATAAACTTTAAGTCAAAATTATTATGCCAGTTTTATAAGTTCTGCATATAAAAATATAAAGTATTAATCTGTGCAAGTTTTTCATTAATTTTGAATGTTTAATGAATCAGTTATCCCCCCTAAAATGTTACTTATGTGATCATGTTCTAGTCTTTGCGCACCGCATATGCAGAAGGGCAAAAAACTAAGATTATGTGTTGAATCATAAACCTGGCACTGATGTTTTTTGTTTGATTTGGCAAAAATAATTTTAAAATTGCTGGGTAATTAAGAATACAACTGTTATAATTTTGTATCACACTTTCAGTGGGATTTCAAGTCTGCAACTTTAAAGCTGCAGCATATAATTTTGCCACGAGATACATTAATGCGAAGTGGCTTTCAGAGAGGACTGTTAATCAAGAAGTAGATGAACGGGTGGATCTAAGATGCTGCTAAGAAAGGAGGATGACCTTGTTCTCTCCTCTCTTTTCCCTTGCCTTCTCAACAACCTCATAAAGATGAGGCAGTATCTGCAATGTATTTTTTTATTGTGTCCATGGATGAGGAACGCTTTCTACAAGCATATGCTTTATAAGTAATTTGGGAATAGTTAGTTCACTTTCATTCTATTCCATCTTTTCCTCCATACAAAAACACTGTAAGGGAACCGACTTCCTATGTTTGCGTAGAGAGACTTGGCTTCTTTCTCTTCCACGCCTTGTCACAACTGTTCTGAAAATGCCAATCTACAATTGCTGCTAATTCTACTTTGGAAATTGTAGTCTTGTGTTCAGTTTTCAGCTTCTCAGGGGACTATGCTTTCCTGAGGAATGCAAATTAGTGCAGGAAAGTGCTCCATTTTCTGTAGCATCAGTTCCCAGTAATCATTTTATTGAAACTTGCTTAGAGACCAGTATAACTGCTGTAATAGTAGTTCTGGGTCTATCTCAGATAACATTCTCTACAACAGTATCATGTAGATTGACTAATTCCTTATGAAAAGGCACATATTGTCAACAAATCTATTGTATGGATGTATTGGTAATAATACCTATGTCCCAAGATAAAATTATTTATTTCTGCTAATATTTTTTTTTCCTTCAGAAATTAGTAAATGAGACATTCCAGAAGCTCTGGTTTACTCCAACTCCACATCATGACAAAGAAGCAATGACCAGGAAAATACTAAACATTACTGATGTGGTATGTTAAACAAATTTGAATTAAGTTGCACGTAAAATTTCATTATGTTTTTAGTATCTTTGAAGTCTGTAGTCTTATAGAACATGAAAAATATGCAAGTAAGTTAATTATCAGATTATTTCTTTATATGTCTCCTGCAATTGAATACATGCTATAATTATTCATCTGATGGAACTGGCTTGTGGCAGTTATTGCACGGACCAACCAGATTGAGTGCAAACTGGCAAATCGTTTATTAACGGACAAGCACGCGTTTATATACCCCCAATTACATCAGAGGTTACGTAACCATAGAGCACGTGAGACTTCCCCAACGGTCATTATCGAACCCTTCCAGTGGGCATGCTCAGTCGAGTACTTCCTTCGGGGGCTTGATGCGGAGACTTCATTTCCCATCCTTCCTTGCGACATTCTTCCTGTAAAGTGTTAACCCTTTCCCCACACTGGCTGTAGGGAAACTTTAAATGCTTGCAAATCTGCTAGCTGTGATAACTGAGACCACATTATATTCAGGTTGTGTAAAAATTTGTGTTGTATTTAACATTTTTCAGGAAATGCTAGTAGCAACATATAGTTAAACCTAACTAAGAAGTTGTCTCTTAAAAGAAAAATTTCTTCAATTGATAACATTTATTTTAAAAGCTTAATAAACTGCTTTAATAAATATAAGGTCACATTCTCATCCAAGGTAAATTAGTATCTGCATAATTTTATCTACTTTTTAGGAGCAGCAAATTAAATCGTATATCTCAAAAATCTGTTTCAAATAAAATGCTGATACATTTGTAGTGAAAATGTATTGTGTAAAACCACTGTGTTGAAAAGGTATTTTTATAGCAATTATACCAAGATGCAAATATCAAATAAAAGTACTCTCTTCACTACCTAAAAATATGGGTTTACACTGCTTTTTAATATTTTTACTAAATGATAGTGTATTGTGCATTTTTCCAGACTGAAAAGTGAGTTTATTTGACTCCGGTTTAATTCTCAGTTCTGTCAATTCTATTTTGGAGCACCTGTGAGCTGTTCCTGACACAGAATACCACTGAAGACTTAGTTTGTTTATATAAATATGTAATATATTAATAATATAAATGTTTATATATACACATGTTCATTTTTAATATGTCTGTCAGACCTGTATTTATACTTTAATCTGTACAAAATACTGTTTTATGAACCCAAAATATGGTTTATATTAGAGGTAGCAATCTCCAGTAAAATGTGTCGACCTTGTGTTGTATGGGATACAAATTCTGAGATCCCTTAAATGGTAAGAACTCTTTTTCAAATGCAAGAAACAGTTTCTGATCTCCAAAGGTATTGTACTGAAAATTTATGGAAATATATATCTGTGCATGTTTACTGATCCTTTAAGATGACATCTGTATTGAAGTAATTTTTCTTCAGATGTCTTTTTTAACCAGTTTATTCTCAAAACTACTTTTAGGTTGCAGCTTGTAGAGATACAGGGTATGATTGGTTTGAACAACTTCTTCAAAATGTAAGTAATGAATTCTGAATGTATGGCACAATCATTTTGAGAATTTTAACATTTCTTTTGGTACTAAAACACACTGAAGGGAGACTGCAAGAGCAGTCCTTTACTGTAAACAAATTCAATCCATGCTTTTTAAACATCTGACCTTTTTTTAAATCTTCATTGGTGTAATTTTCTTTGTCTCCAATATTAGTTTCTTTCTTTCCATATAATTGTTTTAAAAATACTTCCTTTTTCATTTTGGGGAGGGCTTTTGTTTGTTTTTAATTTTATAGTCTCCTCAGTAATGAGTGACATAACATGAAGTGCATAGTTACGCTACGTAATTCTGAAATAAGGCCTCTAGTGTAATGTAGATTTTTTTCAATGATAGAGAAGTATATTTTCATGTCCAATATATTTGTTACACAGTTTATAGAAACAGTGACTCTTCAGGCTATAGGTTACTTCCACATTATATTTTACTCTTAATTTTTCTAAGAAATGAACTTGATTTGTTTATCTCTTAGCCTGTGTTGTCTATCTCCTCTACAGCTCCTATACGCTTGTTAATTTTCAAGCAAAATTAACAACAGCATGCATGAGAGAATTAGAGGTCTCCAAAGATTTTACTTTAACCTCGAGTGCCATGAAAATAGGTAGTCAAATAAACCAAAGTACCTCTTGATGCCTGCACTGAATAAAAAGCTATAGTACAGGCTCAATTAAATTAACTGATTAAAATGTTCCTAGGACTATGTTTCAGCTTTGTTTGATATGTTTTTTAGTGTCAAAAAACATTTCTTTTTTATTTGTCTTTTTTTCTTTTAAAAAGCCTTCTACCTCCTATTACTTACTGCTTTTTTTCTACATTATTTCATTAAGCACAAAGCTAGCTTTCATCCCAATGCAAAAATCAGTAGAACTCTTCTGTCTTTTTGTCACAGTTAATTTTTATTTACTACTTTTGCATTTTGGTTTGATTTTTTCTTACTTCTCTTAATTTTTTCTTCACTATGTAACTTTTATGGAGAAGTTAAATGCTTTTGTAGTGCCAAATCCTTGTATATCTGTAGTACTTTTTATAAAACCAGCGTATATCCAATGTAAATGAATGCATCCTTAATACTAAATCATTTTCTGTTTCATCTGCCATAGCTGTTGAAGTCAGAAGAGGATGCCTCATATAAACCTGTGAAGAAAGCCTGTACTCAACTTGTTGACAATTTGGTTGAGCACATTCTTAAATATGAGGAATCCTTGTCAGGTAATAGTATTTACAACCCAGTAGCTTCTTTGAATTTTATATGATACTGGAACAGTGATGGTTCAAATTACTATTGTGAAAAGTTACTGTTACAGAATTCCTGTTACAAAACTGATGATAATGAATTATTGTATTTAAGTTCATTATGAACTTTTGAGCACTGTATAATAATAAAGCTTCCCTAATTTTCTCTAGCTAACCACAATAACAGAACTAATTTTAAAGTAACTTGTTCAAACTTTTAGATCACTAAAAACGAAACAAATGTGTCAAGCTTTATTTGCATTAATACATTCTACAGTTGTAATAGGAATCATTGGCTGGGCCAGTGTTCTGTGTACAGTAACTAGTTTAAAAACTAGTGATGTCTTTGAAGCAATTTTGCTTCTTATTCGACATATGTTGTGATTGCATACAAATATTAACACATTATGTTCTCATCTCCAACCTAATGAATAGTCTGTATTGATCTTGAAAGATATGTTAGGAAAGAGATATTCATATGATGTTTTGGCCATATGTTTTTCATTGCTCAAACATTACTTTGTGTATTTTCTAATTTTTTTGCAGATTCTGACAACAAAGGTGTGAATTCTGGTCGCTTGGTTGCTTGCATAACCACTTTGTTCTTATTCAGCAAAATCAGGCCCCAGCTAATGGTCAAACATGCCATGACCATGCAGCCATACCTGACCACTAAATGTAGTGTAAGTAGAAAATATTAGAAAATCAGCCTTTTTTTTCCTCAGATAATTAAGCATGGAAATTAATGGCTGTTTTGTATGCTTGATGAATTGAAGGTAGGAAAAGAGAAATAAAAATTGTTTCTATGATTCATGATCATCATATCTTCTGAAGATATTAGGTCCTTTTGAAGATCTCTACAGCTTCTAAGATGCTGTTTCTCACCCTCTACCTCCACATTTTACAGACAGATGAAAGTGAAACCTGTGCTGCCTCTTTCCCTTGAGGACTAAAACACAGTTTTTCATCTGTTATGAAATAATTTCTTAAAATTGTTTTGTTTTATAGTCACAGTCTTAAAAGTAGTTAAGATTTAACACATGAATCTTAAAACTAAAGGTATGGTTCCATAAGATAGAGTGATCTAACATATAGCAAATATATTAGAAGGAAAATGTCCTGCTCTATCCTCTTCAGCACTTCACCTCTCTCTTCCCTAGCTCTGTTGTTTTTGTATTCCCCTGTAAGACAGTTTAGGTCACAAAAATTATAGAGAGCTACAATGCTGAATCCCCCCCACTCCGGTAAAATGGCCCCCTCCTCTGAAACATTGCATTGCTTTCTGCTGTTTTGATTTGCACAGTTGGCTCAGTGAAGGTTGTGATGAACCCCTGATCTGGCAGAAGGAGCAGGACAGGATCATGCAGCCATGGCTCAAGGAAGAGCTTGGCTGAGTGGGGGGCAGCAATCCATTACATTAGGTCAGCTGCCCAGGGAAGGGCAGACTTGAGAATGCTTGTTATCAGCTTAGCTTGTAGGTATAGCCTAGCATTTTACAGTTTCAGCCCTGGAGCATTCTCTAGGCATATCTACAACAGACTTAGAGCTGCTTCTGATCAAACAGTATAGGGAAAGATTATCTGACTATTTACTTGCTGCCGATAGCTGTTGCCAGGTGTTGTGCATTCTCTAGCGTGCATGTGTCAGGAAGAGTTCCTAGATTTGTTTTAGGACTCCAAAAATTTTTCAGGACTGTCACAACCTTGATGAGAGGTGAAGTTCTGCTTCTACAGATTTTTTTTTCCCAGAAGTTCTGTAGAAAACAAGAACTTGCTTTCAAAATAATATGTAACTCAAAAGCAGATGTAAACTACATAAACTATTCTTTTAAATATTTACCAAATAACTTACATAAGATACATAATTGTATTATACTATTATGTAATTGTGTTGTATTAAGATGTATTATATATTTATTCCATAATGCATATTAATAATACTTAGCTTATAGGTAACACAGCCAGAAATGTTAAATTCTATAAATGCTGTTGTTTCAGACCCAGAATGATTTCATGGTGATCTGCAATGTTGCAAAAATCTTAGAACTTGTAGTGCCACTAATGGAACACCCAAGTGAGACCTTTCTTGCCACTATTGAGGAAGACCTCATGAAACTCATCATCAAATATGGCATGACGGTAAGCTTTTAATTGCTACTATTCGGTTAATTCCATTTCACATTATGAAATACATAGTTTTGGTTTAAAGAAAATCTGTCTTCATTGTGAAGATAACTTTTGAGCCATGAAAAATCAATGTTCTTGGTTTACTGGTGTTTGTATGTGTTGCTATATTTTAACAACTATAAGTTTGGGCAGGTTTTCAGAGCAATCTAGGAGATGGACATTACATATGTTAAATGTTTTAGTTCTACATAACTTTTTCCTACATAACTTCACAAAAATCTCAGGTTTAAATTCTAAATATATAACTCATTTGTTCCTTCTTGCACCTAGGTTGTTCAGCATTGTGTGAGCTGTCTTGGGGCTGTTGTGAACAAGGTCACCCAGAACTATAAATTTGTGTGGGCCTGTTTTAATAGATACTATGGTAAGTAAAATCACAACATGTAGTTGTCACTCCTCAGTTTTGACTACAAGACTTAGAGATACACCATGATTAAATACTGTGATCAAAACTTTTATCTTACTGTAGGTGCACTTTCAAAATTAAAAAGTCAACATCAAGAAGACCCCAACAGTACAATACTTACTGCCAATAAACCAGCACTCCTTAGATCACTTTTCACTGTTGGAGCACTGTGTCGGCATTTTGATTTTGATCAGGAAGATTTTAAGGGCAACAGTAAGGTAAAATAACTTGTATTTACTCTCTACATCTTATGTATATTGAATACTCCTCTTCAATTTGAGAATACAATATTCATAGTCCCTCAAAGCTATACATTTTTTCATAATGCATACAATATCGGTTTTTGGGCTGTAAATACATGGGTTTACGAAGGCCATGAAGTAAGACTGTGTTTCTTCTTTTTGATATATATGATTTTTATAAGAGATTAAAAATATCTGTTTCCTCCTCAAATACCTATTATTTTTGTTTTAATTTCCTCAGGTTAACATTAAAGATAAAGTACTTGAACTGCTGATGTATTTTACAAAGCATTCAGATGAAGAAGTACAGACGAAAGCCATTATTGGCCTTGGTAAGAAATATTAATAGTTTTTATTATTCTGCTGTAGCAAAAATCCATGCATTTCATCAGGCATTCAGTTACTTGTGTAGTGGCAGGGGAGTTTAAAATCAAAGTTCACTGCATGTAAAATTTGAGAACTGGCTATGGAAATGTAGTCAAAGAGATACTTTGAAATTGCATACTTCTTCAGTAGAGTGGATGCTTTTGACAGTGAATGCCTTTTTGATGTGTGACCAAGTCTTAAAAAGCATCAGGATTCCAAAGTAAACAGAGATGATACTTTTTCCCCACATGCAAGTGTGTTGTAACTCCAAATCTTGTTTTTCAGTCAACAAGGTATGGTTAAAGAATAACTAGAAAAAAATGATGGAAAAACTTTGAGAATTTTAAGTCAATGAGTGGCTCTGAGGTTGGTATAATTGGACAAATTTGGGGGTTTTGGACAATGGGATGATCTACTCAAAACCTGGTCTACTGACACCTGATGGGATGCACCTTTCTCAAAGGGGAAAAACAGTTCTAGAGCAGGAGCCAGCGGGGTTCATTGACAGAGCTTTACACTGGCTTGCAAGGGAGAAAGGGGCAAAACCAGGCTTGACAGTGATGAGCAATGGGATGGTGTGCCAAAACTTGAGGAAACAAGCACTAATGGGATCCCTCAATCTGTCTCAAGAGGTGTTGGCTACAGTGTACCACACCTGAAATGTTTCTACACTAATGCACGCGGCATGAGGAACAAACAAGAGGATCTCAAAGCTTTGGCCCACTCCCAGGGATTTGACATCATTGGCATAAGAGAAACCTGGTGGGATGAGACCTGTGATTGGAGTGCCCAGTTGAACGGTTGGTTACAGGCTCTTCAGGAGGAATAGGCAGGGCAGAAGAGGTGGAGGGGTGGCACTGTATGTAACAGAAGGGTTAGAATGTCTGGAGCTCACAGTTGGCAATGGCACAGTTGAGAGCCTCTGGGTAAGAATCAAGGGGCAAACAAATAATACCAATGTCACCA